AGAAATATTACATTTGAATACCTTAGAACCTATCCAATACTTCCTTACTTATAATAGGTACTTTGTTTTTTTTTATGTTTTATTAGTAGTTGTATGAATGTTACAGTAATATTTGTGGTTATTGTAAATGTGCTATATCTCAGACCTATTTTTACTTAGGTATTCCAATCTTTAATTTTAAAAGTTATAGGGTCCTATCAACAAAGGTAAATGAGTTTGCTCTAGTTAGGAAACCAATGACAGTCAATGATCGTCTTATGAAAATAAGAACAAAAATCGCCGCACACCGCATGTGGACCTTATCGAAGAATATAAATGAGTTCCAGTGGTGGATAAACCAATGGTAGGCCAAACTCACATACTGAAAATAAGCATAAAAAACTTTCGCACTCCACATGCGGAGTAAGTAAGAGTACATAAGTAAGTAATGACAGTCAATGATAGCCAATTGAAAATAAGCACAGAAATCTTTCGCACTCCACATTTTCGCCTTATCTACCTATAAAAATGAGCTTGCATTAGTCGATAAACCTTGAAACTCTTATAAATTTCTCAATGTCAATTCTGCCTGTCTGTGCGTTCGCCAGTAAGTCACAGCCACTTTAGTCCGAAACTGTTAGTACTAGCACAAATAAATAGTAGCTATAAGTCTCGTAAATTGCTAATGCGCTGGAACCTTGTCTACATAACACTCGCGTGACGTCGTATGAAAACAAAAAGTATAGATAGCACAAAAGGCAAGAGATAAATTATTTATTAATTATTGAAATATTTATGAATAATCCCCAATAACATTAACATGTAATAACATTTAGTTTGTTCATATATTGCGTGACTTTTTGGAAAAAAACAATTTATACAAATACTAACAAAAGTTAATATTAACAATCGAAACCAATAAAAACATAGCAAAAATGATGTGTTTTTATTGGTTTCGACAACTAGTACAAATACTAACAAAAGTTAATATTAACAATCGAAACCAATAAAAACATAGCAAAAATGATGTGTGATCTCAACACAACCCTACTCAATAAGTGTGCATGTCAACCAGTGTTTATTAGTTAACGGTACTTACGGATTTTTGATCGCAATTACATCATGAAGGCGGCCAGGCGCATTAGCTATTTACGGAGATTATATCTCTTTCGGTCTATTTTCTGGTTAGGCTTAGGACCTAAATATTGAGACTTTATATGTAGATGCATTCTATTAAACGCTTTAAGATTATTTCGTTTCCGTATTTTAAAATATTTTATTATAGAATTTTTTAACGTTGCACTTTAATGCATGAGTACAATACAATAATAATAGAAGATTTTTTACTGCTCTCTATGGAGTTATAAACAAAACGCGGCTGTAAAAAGCAGGCGATGCTCAAAAACTAACTCATAATACTACTGAGCCGCGTCCTCGCGGTCATGTTCGGTAGTATTATGTCACACACTGAGGTACCGTGTTAGGCAAAATTATTCTTAAAAGCGCAACTTCAAAGGCCCATAACTATATTTTAGGTCCTTACATATGAAATAGGCGTTTTACACTTTAATCACAAATTTCTTCTCCTTGGTTGGGATTTCCAAATTCAAATTTTTACAGCCATTTACACATGTATTTTTGTTTCGTTAGGCGGCATTCATTTGTTTTTTTTTTCTTCTATTTGTCCTATTTACGTCACCCAGTATAAAAAATTGAAAACTTGAAATATCGTGTTATTTACGAGTACGAGTTTTGCGGAAACGCCTCGAAGGGTTAATGATGTTGTTTAATGTAGTTTAATTGAAAAATCTTAGCGTACATACAGCGGAAAGCGGCTTTGTTTTATACTATTTAGACATAGGTCTAGAAGAGAATAGTGCACTGAACAATAATTATTAAAAATATATAAAAAATTAATTGTTAATATTTTCATTTGGCTTATTAATAAAAAATGGCTAATAATTTATTAGCCATTTTTTATTAATTTATGCAGAGTTAGACTGCAAAATATCTTACGAAATACACAATGCATGAATATTGGGCATTTAGCCCAATATTTTTAAAGTTATGGACCATGATTGGGCATTTAGCCCAATATTCATATATATTATTTTTTTATAAACTGAAGTACATTATTTTCACCATTTTCAGAAGAAATATATTTTCATTTCTTCGAAGAATGTGTTTTTGCATATCTTGAGTAATGTGTATTCTTCGAAGAGCAAAATTTCTGTTAGTCTAAGTGGTTGTTCTAAATTTCAGATTATAAAATAACAATCCAAGTTAGAAGTAACACTTAAGAATAAAGAAAACATAATTTGTTTGCACAAGAAAATAGGAGGACTTTCTCAAAATTTCGAATTAAACAAACACTAAAAATACCCCTGACGGTCAAATTAAACGAGGTGCTGGAAAACTCCCTGCATTCCCATTAAGTAGAATTGGCAAAAAGCGACAGAACAGGAATGTAAACACTTAAAACTTTGCTCGGCGTTGAGTTCCCTCGCTTCGGAGTAATAGAGGGCGCTAGCGGCAAACAAAAGCGCGCCGAGTTTTAGTTCGGATCACCATTTTGTCTGTTCGGCGTTTTACCAGTTTCCTACAATATTCCGGGGCAAAATGGAACCAACTCTTATAGAAGATGAATATGCGACGCCGCCGGATCCAGCTCACGTTCGTAGCGCAACTCTAGTGATGCGTATCAAATAACAATTTTGTAAAGTAAAATCTCTTATTTGTATAAATTATTAAATATATTCATATCATATATAAATAAAATATATAAACTGTCATCATTGCTATTGATAGTTATATTCTACCTATATACGCGTAGATATTCCTTGCGGGTATTCAGTTAATACCATACGCCATAACAAAAGTATTTGTCGAAGGAAAGCTTAATCATCATCACTACATATATTAAAACAAAGTCTATCGCCTCAACTGTCTGTCTGTTCTCGAAAAAAACTCGAAAAGTACAGGACGAATTTTCATACAGTTTTCAATAGCAGGGAAAGTGATCGCTGAGGCGGACTAAAAGAAACGGAGGGCGAACCCGGTCCGAGCCTCCGGTCTTAGGGGGCCTCCAAATGGCTTCAGTCATCCGCCAAAATCATAATAACACTATAAATTCAATTGGAAAATCAAATTTTTTCAATTTTTTCACAATTAGTGCCTTCCGAAGCACGGAGTTACTCGTGATAATAATTTTTTGGGCACTCATCCCGTGACCGACCCTTGCGAAAGTTGCTTAACGACAACGATCGCGGGCCGCTGCGCTTATCCACTACGCCACCGAGCTACCCGCTATTTACCGCTATAGCTATTTTGTGTTTAAGAAAATTTATTTTTAAAAAAATCCACTGCCTGACTGGACAAATAAAATATAGCGGTACGAAGTTCGTCGGGTCAGCTGGTAAACATGTAAATTAAACAAATAAAAACTATTTCGAAAACGTTAAAAGTAAATAAGGAATTCATGTTAATTAAATGAAAAGTGGTAAACAAATTCAATTATTTTAATTCGTAATTGGATTGAAATCCTGTGGTATCTTTTATATTTACTAACATTAACCGCCTATAACAAATCTAAAACTTTTTATACTAAATTTTAGCGACTATTTTGGCAAAATTTACCCTTGATACAATCAATTATTCCAATAATTATTTGTTATTATTTGTTGTTAATAATAGGTATAAACATCTAAGACGTCCTATTTCCAAATATAAGCCAACAGATTCTACTGATGTCTCTCAAACGTCGCACTATATAAGATTTTGTCTAATATAATAATTCCTACTTCAATTAACGTGATTAATTGCAATATCGCAATTTTCTAGAAAAGCCGGTGTCCTAACTGAAATATTTTAGTTAATTGTTTATTTATAATTTTCTATCATATCTACCCATCTCTATTCTCTACTGATGTCACACGTCACGCTCTGAAACGCATGCAAACTTCACTGGCGTTATTTATTGGGGTCAGTGTTTTGGTAATTCCCTTGACATTTAAACTGGTGAACGCATTCAACTATACAATGCACATTTCATTAAAAAATACACAAAATATCCAATAGAGTCTTGTGTATGATTAACCAATAATATTGTTACTATAAAACATTACTATTCAGTTGCAGAAAGGATTACGGTTTAAAATTACGACTTTAATATCTAATAAATGTTTAAATTTTTATTTTGTATTAGTAATGTCGCCTAAATGTTCAGAATTTGATAATCTGCATTGGTAATATCGCTTTAAACTAATGACAACTTTAATGGCCGTTTCTGCAACTAGACATAAACGTTAAAAGGTTTGTGTTGTGTTAAAAGGTGACAAATTCCACATCATCATCAGCCTTTTTACGTCCTCATTGCAGGGGTCAGGCCTTCCATATGGATAGTTAAAAAGGATGGACTTTGACCCCCACGCTGGCCCAATATGGATTAGAAGGTATTAACGAATGTAGCCGGGGTCAATGAATAACATGCCTTTCGAAGCACGGAGTAACTGGAGATAATATTTTTGGTCACCTATCCCGTGGCCGACCCTTGCAAAAGAAACAACAACGATCGCGGCCGTTATCCACTACGCCACCGAGCTACTCCACAACAAATTATTAATACTAATAAATATCCGATTAATTATTCGATATTTAAATACATGGAAAACGACCACGACATTCTATAATCAATTCAGCCTCCAACTTGACATCGAGCACTACACTGTAATAGCACAGAGATTCAATAAAAAAAACTTTATTACCTTTTGAAAAAGGTTTTATTTGAATCAACCTGTAAATGTTCTTCACATTTTTTAGGAATAGCAACATTTATATACTCATTTTAACATAAACCTGTCCGATAAGTATTGTTAGACGGTATTACTATTTGTGAAACCATCATTTCAGTCTCGAATACACAGATCCAACTAAAGATCCGCAACTTTGATTAAAATAAAATGATACTTATTACACGCGCTGAAATCTCGTTTCCAATTTACATTCGTGTTTCTTTTGTTTAGAATTACCAGACTCACAGCCTAAAGTGCAAGCTCAGAAGAGTTGGTATTCTATTGGAGATATGTTGCGAGCAAACTGCACGTCGCCCCCAGCCGACCCTCCCGCTAATTTAACGTGGTTGCTCAATGGACAAGAGGTATTTAAACAATAAATAAAATCTTCTATTATTGTTACAATAATAATATTGCACTGGCCTAATGAGGAATCACCATGGTTTCATTTACTACGTACTTCTACATCTACATCTACATCTGATATGTGTATTAATCCTTAATAAGATGGATAGAGAATTATCCAGTTAACCTATCAGTATTTTATTCTAATAAAATATCTTTGAATTTCGATATCACATAATAACTGTTTGCAGGTGAAGGGCCTTGACATTCCAGTAAATGAGGCGCCATATGCTCGAAGGAAACCAGTCATAACGGACGCATCACTCGACGACGCCAACAGAATTATATTCAGTCCGTGGGACGCAATCTCGATCTTCGACGAACCCGCCACAGATAACGTAATAGACATTCCGGGCAATATCGACGCCATCCTGCCCCAGTCAGACGATCGGAAAAACAAGGATACCAGGCTAGCGTCCGAGCAAATAGCAAATAAATTGAACATTAGCACGGAAGAGGAGAAATCTAATAAATCATCCTCTTTTAGCCAGCTTGTTATGAGGGTTCAGTCGGTACACTTCCATAAAGTAAGTAATACGACGAATAGTTACGCAATCTTTCGTACATGTTGTTCAAATTTGATCATCATGATATCCGTTGATTCCTGAAAAAAAAATTTATGACGCCATTCTAACTTTGATTCTAACAATTATTTTTTCTCACTAAATTATCTCTAACTCTCAGAAGATGTCAGAACTTATATTTGTATTAATGTGTAGATCTAATATGTATATTAGATCTAACCATATATGAGTTTGTTTTTGGACGTTAATTATTAGGTGCACTTTTCATTTCATATTATAGTTTAAAAAATGCCACCGATATGATGGCAGGTTTAATCTCAGGATTCAACCATAGAATAATGTAAACCTCATGAAGTAAGGCAGACATTGATGACATAGGTTATTTATTCACCCGATACAACACAAGCAAGTTCTGCGCACACAGTCTAGTCTTATATACAATTTAAAGCTATGACGTTCTGTAGGAATATTCTTGTAAATGAACAAAAGAAAATATTTTTCCTTATTATAGAAGCAGCTGTTTATTCCAATCATATCCCTAGGTTCAATGAGCCGTAATGAGGGCGATAACATGATTTGCATATTTTGTTCTTAAATAATTCATCCTAGCAGAAATAAGATCGTGCAAAAAATCAGACTCAATAACTTCGTACAATGGTTTTCGGATATTTGTTCAATTTTTTGTTCTAATATAATTTAACCAGATATTATAAAGACAGAATTATATATACCAAGCTTTGAATAAATAATATTCAGTCGTTGAAACAACAATGACCTATTATGATACATATTCCTTTGTAATATTTTAATGATGACCCAATTCTATGATTAAATATCCGTGATGTTTGTTTATTTGATAAAGACTTTTATTTCCTGTCAGCATGTGTAGCATTAAGTATACATATTGTATATTCACATCATGTATACCTATTTAAGTATATCAATATAAAAAAAAAACTATTCGTATTTTCAGACAGCGTAATTAAGAAAAAAAATCTAGAAGGATTAGTTAACTGATTAAAAACATACCCTATCTAATTATTGCTATTATTTTCAATTCACTGAGACTATAATTTACTAAAACTTAACACACAACAACACACGTACAACTTGCTTTTAAGGTTCTCTTGGACCTCCGCTTATGTTTCCATACGAATAAAAAAAACATTTTCATACATTTTTAATTACAGCTGATTTCATACATTTTTAACATTTTACAGCAAAAAGAATAAATGCAATTATAAAAAAAACTTTGATTATTTTAGATTTGCAAAATCTATTTTTGTATATATTATTGTATAGTTAATATAAAATATATTAGTCGTAAAATCGATCCAATAAAACCCATTAAGATTCTTTGGTCTATAGAGCCAATCATTGAACTGTATGTTTCTGTTTTTGCAAACAATCGACCATATTAGCACAGTCTTCGAATATTTTTCAAGTGGTATTTTTATAAAGCCTCGCCTTAAGCTCAAAGAGCATTATGATTCTATGGAGTTTCTTAATAACAGGGTCGACTGAACGTGACGTGTGTGGCGCGAGTGCTGTCTGTTTGGTCCTCGAGCGGTGTTCTAATATTGGACGAGGAACGACCACAGATCGCGCCCGTTATGGGGTCAAGGGACTCCAATTCAGGTGAAACTCTAGAATATGCATTATGCCTGGGTAAAAAATAAAGAAATTCTATTTATTCCGTCAGTTAGATAATAATCTCATATTAATTACTTTTTTCTTCAATTTGACAAGAAATAGATTACATAACAAGCATTAAAGTTAAGGGGGCTTACCACGTTTCAGGTTTATAGAAAATATACAATGACGTAGCTCGGTGGCGTAGTGGATAAGCGCCGCGGCCCGCGATCGTTGTCGTTAAGCAACTTTCGCAAGGGTCGGTCACAGGATGGGTGACCAAAAAATTATTATCTCGAGCTACTCCGTGCTTCGGAAGGCACGTTAAGCTGTTGGTCCCGGCTGCATTTACAGTCGTTAATACCCTCCAATCCGCATTGGGCCAGCGTGGAGGGTCATGGCCCATCCTCCTTAACCATCCTTAAGGAAGGCCTGAGTACCTGCAGTGGGGACGTAAAAGGCTGATGATGTTAAATGACGTCATGGACATTTTAACTCGATTTATTGTATTATATTTATACCGACAAAAAAAATGTCATCATCTCTATTGTACACTTCTTTGTTTATGAGTTATGCCAAAGTGTATAAATACATAATAAAAACAAAGTCGCGTCCCGCTGTCTGTACGCTGAAATCTTTAAATTTCACAATTGATTTTAGTGTGGTTTTCATCAATATACATAGTGATTCAAGATTTTTTTTTAATGTAATACAGGAAGTTTTAAATGTAATACGCGGGCATAGCCACTGGCGGAAAGCTAGTGTTATACAATTCTACTAATACTATAAATGCGAAAGCTTGTGAGGATATATGTTTGTTACTCTTTAATGCTGAAACCAATTTGATAGCCTAAATTAATATACGTGCAGAATCAAAAAGAATTTTATCCTTCCTAAATAGGTAAAAAATAGAGATAAATGCACTCTCAAGTCAAAACCACGCTGGCAAAGCCGCTGGCGGAAACTAGTATTAAATACTTTAATCAGATCTCAAACCAAATAGCTAAAGTGTCTTTATGTTATTGAAATTTGAAACAACATAGGGCTTTTAACACCGAGACTCGAGATAACATTGATAAAATCATTATCTACACTGACCCGATCGGAAAGCCACAAAGTTTGGTCTACGTGAAACATAACTCATATTGAAAGGATTCTGAATGGCAATATTTCAAATATCGATATGTATTTCTCGTTCTTTTTTCATTAACAATCATATTACAATAAAAGCTCCATGTTTAATTACTACTGGCCCTTCTCAACATTTCGATAATCAAGTGTTAATTGGTTGGTTACAACCATATCATAGAACGCGTTAACCAAAGAGTAGTATATAATAAATAATAAAACCTGGGTGAGCAATTTTGTAGTTTTTTTTAGACAAGGAAATCTTTTTAGACAAGATCCAAGTCAATAGTTTTAGACTTCGTTATAAAAATAAATATATTTAATGAATATTTGCAATAAATAAAGTTCTAATTTCGTTACCAATACAAACGTTTGTCATAATCAAAATTTATGTCTATACTAATATTGTAAGTTCGATAAATTCGTTAATTGTTTGCATTGAATAAACTCCAACACTGCTAGACTAACTTTCAATTAGCTTTTTCACTTACGGGATAGTTATATCATGTCATCATCACCATCATCAGCCCTTTTACGTCCCCACTGCAGGGGCTCAGCCCTTCCGGAGGATGGGCCATGACCCTCCACGCTGGCCCAATGTGCATAAAAACAACAAATGCGAACCGTGGAGCTTATCCACTATACCACCGAGCTATATGATATGTAGATGATAAATTACGTTATCGAAGTCACGGGTAAGTGACTAGTCATATATAAATTGAAAGTAGCCCTTAATAATTGTCCCGTATAACAGTTCATCGTCTTTATTACCCTTGAAAAACTACATAAATGAATAGTTCTTATAATTCATTGATTTAATGTAAATCTATTAAGAAAACAAAAATTCATATCACGCATCGTTAATAATAAATAAATAAAAATTACAAAATATGGTCATTTGATAGGATATGGTCGGTATGATATATTGAATCATTAATTAATTAAGTCTTAATCTGCCTGCGCTGTCAATGTTCGGAAAGATAATAGAGATTGGAGGCTATGGCGTAACAATACGCAGCCGCATATTCATTCACTACGCAATAATCGTACTCGATTTTGTAATATCCGATTTCGTAGTTGGTGTTATTAATTTCAATGTTCTGAAGTAATTCTGTCGCTTTAAGAACTATTTGTGATTTAGATTTTTTATAATTAATAATACATTTAATATTTTTAGTAGTTTCTCGTTATAATATTGGCTATCATTAATTTTAATAGAAACATGAATTATTATTATTCTATAGCTTTACGTACTTTATACGATAGATAGTATTCATTCGCTAGTTTCGCATGCAACGAAAAAAGTAAGGTATGGTTAGGTACACTGTAATACAATTTTAGGTAGTAAACATTTTCTTTAATTTGAGACACTTTCGAAGAATTTGTCCAATAAATAATTTATTGATATAATTTTATTTTTTATTAATATAATTTTAATTTTATTTATTGATGTCCAAATTAATTTATTAATATAAGAGGTCTACCCTCAATTTTTTCCACTTTTTCTGGGTTTTTGTCAATCTTCCCAAAATTAACCCCATAAATGCATAATTCTAATACATTAGTATTTACATTTACCATCTTAAATTTGGGGCATAAACGATCCTCTCTTTTGAACTCGTTGACTTCGTAGGTAATTTAAATTTTGCACAGCCCAGGATGGCAGAATATTTGATCTAATTTCCACTTTATACTCCGAGATGATAACAAAGTAATTCTATAAGGGTGTATTTCAAGTTTCTTGAAAAATTCACAAATTTCTCTTAAAAATGGTGGACCAAATTAACAAGCAGGTTCCATACTCAAATAAATAGATACAACTCTTTATATACTTATTATATTAATCACAGTATAGGTTGAAATGGGCATTAAATAGTGAATTTATATAACGGTTTTACAAAAAAGTCATTAAAAGTTGTTTCATTAAAACTAATATAATGATATCTTAATGAAGCCACTCGTAAGTGAAAGAATTTTGTAAGCAAACAATGAAATCTTTCCTATTTATAATATTAGTAAAGATAAAAGAAGGTATTTTACAAAGGGATCAACCACCCAAAATTATTAACTGTTAAAAAATTTCGTCTAAAAAATTGCATCGTAAATTTATATTGCTAAATAAGATCATATTTTTAAGGGTTCTGTTACAACCAAAACATGACATTATAAAACTTATTGTATTTGATCTATTTTGCATTAGCAATGTTCACAATCACGAAAATATTATTTAAAATATACATTAAAATTATAGATAAAATTACTTATAAAATATTAAACTTTAGAGAATAGTACTGTGAATGCAAAAGAGATCAAATATAAAATATTTAGAAAGAAAAATTGCAGACGAGCTGCCGTTTGTCGCGACTTTCAAACCAAAAAGATCGGGATTTTAAATTGGGAAAAGCAATGGCAGGTCGATGTGGTTATTTGCAATTGACTTTGTGTTCAAAGTTCCAGGTTACATTTAAGAGGGCATGTATATCAAAGGTCACTTTTAACTGATTTTGGACTAATAAATAACGCTCAAATCAGCTGTAATAAATAATAATATTTCTAAGGATTCTATCACATCTAAAACGTGAATTTATAAAATCTTCTCTATATAACAAAATAACGAAGTTAGGGTAGATGATATGGTTTTGGTAATTTTAAGAGTTACGAAGAAGTGAACTTTGGCTCATCACAGCTGTCAATTAATGAAAGGTATTTGTTTTGCTATAATTCAAAAATTTTAACAAACCGTTCTCAGATAACGTAATATTGCCTATGCGTAATTTAGAATATCTTGAATTGCCAAATGGCAAAAAAGGAGCAATGGCTAAAACGACCCGGGTCTTAAATTCATATTTTTTCTTGTTGTAATGATATTGTTTTTATATGGAAAATCAATAAATTCACTTCATAGACGATAGAATTTGGCAGCAGTTAACATTAATCGTAATATGTATTTTACATTGAAGTACTTACTTGACCAACTAATTTAGGTTACTTAATCAACTAAACAATTTTGACGTGCAATTTGACATCCTGTCCTATCTCTATGGGTTTGCAGTGGGCAATGAGATAGATAAATACAGTGTCAGCAATAAAGAAATAAAGTATATGATATTTATTATGGCCGTCAAATACTCAGGTCAGATATAAAAATGATCTTTATGGCCGTCAATCCAAAATTTCTGCCAATTGTGATCAAGCCGTAGACCACTTAACGGTAGCACCAAGGCAACGTTGTAAACGGTCAAATGACTACTTAAACTTACTGATAGACTTATCAAGTGGACTTTTTTTCAACCCGTCAAGTATTGTCACGCACATGCGCGTCATATGCCGTCATTCAAATTTCCCGCCAATTGTGGTCAAGACTTAAGACAATCCTAATTATTGAAATTTATTTTTCTGTTTTTTGCGATCAATGGACCGTGTTTAATTTGCATAAAATGTTTTATATATTGTAAATATTAGCATACATATAACATTAATAAATAAAATAACTTAGCTTAGAATAAATTTGGTTTAAAACGTGATAATTTCGTAAAACCTCGCCTTAAGAACCTCGCCCCAGAATCTTTCATATACTTACCTGTATATACTATAAACGATTTCGCAAAAAAATTGGGTGCGTCTTCGTCGAAGGTGCTATCTGTACAAGGGGACAGTAATTTGGCTTTATGCTTCCTCTTAGAAACGAGTCATTAAATGGAACATGTTTGTTACAGGGCTGAGAAGGACGTCTCGTTATGTGTTCGTGTTGGCGTTCCTCAACTATTTGTTTTACAGTCACTGGTGAGTCTATACTATTACTTAACTAGATAACCATCTCTGAGACCTGGTCAATCAAGAAAATGGACTTTTCTATATTGTCTTAGGTCTAGGTGTCGTGGTACATTCGTTGTCTCAGATACTCCAGGCGGCTTTAGGTATGGCTTTATTCATTTTTGAATCTGAGCATTGTATGTGATGTTGTCTAATATTTATTTATTTATTATTATCAGTTACGCACTGAGAATGTACGGCTGCACGTCAGATTACCACAATATATCACATTTCTGTAATGGATTTTGACCCCTACTCTCAAAATGTTATGATTTAAAATTAAGTGGGGCAAATTTGTCAGTTTTGTATAGTTTAACGTGCAGTTGGCTGTACATAGATCAAAGGATATGAATAAAGTTTATGATCAGATAAAGTTCATTACCAAAAACCTCGGTGGCCTAATATACGCATCTGTCCCGACTTAACAGAAGAGGCTGGTTCAACGGCTTGAAGTGAAATTTTCAATTCGAGATTCTAGCCCATTAGTAGTTTATTTTGCTGGTGCCTCTTTATTACGAGTAAGGTATTCAATAGCTAGTAATTTTGTCGAACTTTTTGTTCACTTTATCCTTTTCTGTGGCTAGAGTGAGAAAGAAAAAGAAGATAGCGTTTGTAGCATACCTACTATCAATCTGGTTCTAACAAACTGCAGTTCTGAGCGAAAGATGATAGTATCACAGAAAAACTCGATACCGTGCTTCACGATGTAACTCAACTCTAATGACTCAGTTACAATATGCTTTGACTTTTATGTGCTGCTTGCGAATGTCTGTCTCACTGTCATTGGCCGGTTATTGTTTTATTGACCATTGAGATGAGTCCACTGCAGTCACCTGCATTCCACGTGCAGACACCATCGACCTACAGTAATACACGGCGCTGCAATAATTTTGTTATTAACCACTTTTCTTTTTTTTAAGTTTTTATTTATATTAGTAAGATTAGATTTTGTATATTTTAAATATATTAATGTATTTTAATCTTTTACAGTTCAATCCGATGATCTGAATGATAAGAATAACCGTGACGTCATTGTTATTATATCAAATAAAATCAGTGTTTAGACAAAAATTAATTCTCGGTGAGTTTGAAAACAGTGAAGGAACAAACTATCTGCGACGTGGGTTGAATGTAGTGAATTTTATACTTGTAAATAGTTTTATATTAGAGATTCTAAGAGAAGAAATAGTGATGTTTTGCTTATGTAATTGTTATCTCAATATAAGGAACGTAAAATAAAGGAAATTCCCGTTTTTAAACAACTTGTTTTACTAAATAAAAGGTAAGATTTTCTCCACATTTGATTTATCATTCAAAACTTTGTTTATATTTTTGTAGCAATTTTGGAAAACCAAAATTGATAATACAGTGATAATAAATGTGAAGTAAATTTCGCAAAAAGGTTGTAAGCTGTTGGTTGATTAAAAATGATGTAACTACATTACGAACAAATCAGTTTTTGTTATAAGAGCCTTGACAAATTAAAAGATAATGATTTTTTATGTACTGTCTCAAAAATTTATTTATATATTTCGCATAATATCTTTGAGTTTATACATAATAAAATTCTTTAATTATGAAGAAATTGCTCATATTATGAAGAAATTCTTATGAAGGAATTGATAAATTATATTCGAGTCACCTTTTAGAAATAATTATTGGATCCATTTATGAATAAAATAATCTAATTTTACTAGCCTATTTCTTCTTACTATTTACATTAAAGCCACCAAAAAGAGCAAAGCTAAAGTAATACAAAGATCGGCTGCAAGACAACTTTACTGGCTACGTATATTTAAATGAGGAACTTCAAAAATTGATATGAAATCTACAAAGAATATATTCACATAAAATAGAGATATAAAAATGTATAAACTTTGTACAAAAGTTATTATTAATAACAACGAGTGTGATAAAACAAAACTCAAATTTTAATAATAATAATCATCAGCCTATCAATACTGCTGGGACAAATGCATGAATAGAAATAGGTACAATGTGCCATGACCCAAAACACAGACCAGTGTGAATTGATGACTGATAACGACTGCCGATGCAGGTGCAATCAGCTTTCGAAGCACAAAATAATATATTTTCGGTCATCCACCCAAAGACCGTTGCTTAACTTCCACATCACAAATCGAATGCGCTAACAATTTCACCAACGAGCTCTTTGTAATATATATACATCATGGTAGACAGGTTGCGGCAGCAGGTAAGCACATCCTAGAGCACATACAGACACGTAGCCTCGACATATGAATTTTAATCAATCCTTTTGTTCGTCGAGCAACTGCATACTAAAGATAGAATACGTAATATCAACTCTAGCGGTTCAGCACAAATATAGGAAATATTAAGGTATAAACACACGCTTTCTTGACAATAATCTTACCTTCAACATTAGAAGAAAATTTTAATGTAATCCTTATTAACAATTAGGTTCTTTTACATTTGTTCTAGATTTAATGCAACGTATTGTTTTTTGCACTTATTCTTTAGTAATTTATTTATATTATTTATTAAAAGATAAAAGTTTAAACTATTTAACATAAAATAATATGCAACAAATATGCAAGTATATAATCAAATCGAATATGTATCCTAATTTTAAGATTTATCGACATTTCGACAAATTTTTAAAATTATACACCAAATCCATATTATATCTACTTAGTAACATCTAAGTAGATATAATTTATCTACTTAGTACAAGTTCGATTCTCGGTGGTCAATTGACCTTTCTATACAGTATTAGGTCAATCAATCAATCAATCAATCAATCAATCATTTATTGCATAAAATATGGTGTAACAGATGTCATAAAATAAGCGTATCACATATTTACTGTTTGACAGTGTGCAATAGTTTTAGTAGTTATATAAATTTACATTTTAATCTATTCATGCATTAACTATGATATTATTTTATTCGCACATCATTCACTTAAAAAACATTTCATTTAGTTCCTATTACATATTATTTCAGTCTTATAGTTTAAAATTAAGTAATAGTAATAATGTCAAAATTCGAATCAATTTATATGTTACAAAAATAATAAGTCAAGTAAGCTTAATACATAAATCCACGTCAATTACAAAATAATTTTATCATACACATTATAAAATATGTCATTGTATATAATTTATTTATAGTGTCGTTGTATATAATAATTTATTTATTTATAAGCGATTTTTACTCTACTAAAATTGCTTGCATTCCAAATATTCCTGTATCGAGTAAAATGATTTGTTCAGAAGCCACTCCGTCAAAGCTTTTTTAAAAATGTTTCTGTTAATCGGTAAGTCTACTAGTTTCGATGGAAGCTTGTTGAATATATTTATAGCCATATAATATACATTTTGTTTGAATAATGTCAAATTACATTTCGGAATAACAATTTTATTTTGTCTCGAACTTCGTGGGTCTTTTTTTATCTCTCTGACTTTAGTAAAATATTGTGGATTTTTTTTTACAAATAAACACAGTTCACAAATATAAATGCAAGGCAAAGGTAATATTTTTAATTCTTTAAACATAGGCTTACAGGAGTCACGTCTTTTTATACCACATATTGCTCGTATGCATTTTTTTTGAGCTATAAATAGTCTTTTCATATCCACGCTATTACCCCATATTATTACAGCATAACGTAGCAAGGACGACACGTATCCATGATATGCTTGTAAGGCTATATTTTTAGAAGCGATTCTGACTCTATAAAGTGCAAAAACGAATTTATCTATTTTTGTAGCTAAACTATCAATCTGTATTCTCTATCAATCTGTAATGTGGTCTGTATTTATGGTACATTTTTTGCTGCAGATAATCCATAATTCAAGTGCTTTTTTATTTTGAATCTGAACAATGTACATCTATGTGCCACCACTACCTTCCTTCGTTCAATCACCCTTTCCTCTTACTTTCTTTTAGTCTGCTCTCTTCCTTACACTCTTTATTCCTAAACCTTCCTCTCTCCCCTTTGCTTCCTGTGTCGGAATTCTCTCACTTATCTCCAACCCGGTGTTGAGTGGGGTTCTGACCCTCACGCACTGAATGGCTAGAGATAGTCATCCAAGTTACACCTCGACGCGCTCGATGGGGGGCTTCGCCTCTTCAGTAGCAATTATATTATTAGGCAAAAAACTGTATTAACTGTTATCTGTTTTCAGATACTATTGTAATTTTCATTATATTGTAGTAACTAGGTCAACATACAACTGTGAATAAAACCAAAAAGCGTTCGACCAAATAACCAATGTTCCTCGATATTGCCTTATCCCAATCTACATTCAAATATGCAACTCGATTGGTGTCACGCAAAATTAGAAAACGTAACAAAACGTATTGGTTTTTTATAGGTATTTTTACAAGGACCGTTTAAAAAGCGTAAACAAAATAGAACACGAAATGCTATTGAGTAAAGATGAGAATACCTTCAATAAAAATTTTAATCATGTAGCTGGATGAAAACGGGTCACAAAAACCTCAGAAACGACGGATAATATAAGATGATTAAGAAAGGAGTTAATTTTGAGGTGAACACTAAAGAAGAAGAACACATTTAATCAATAAATTGTTTAATTAGTACTTAATACAAATAAAGGGACAATATACCTATTAAAATAGAAATAATACGTCGTTCTCAAAAGGACTAGAGACCGGCAGCTATTAAGTACGTTCGTTACGCTGCTTATGTGTACTAATGGTTGTTCAATTTTATTTTCTTTAAAGTTAGCTTTCATCAATAGCAATGTTAATTATTTATCACACAAAATCATTTCAAACATGACGTCTCTATGACAGTGCGTCGTACCACACCGTTTATTTAGTCCTAGGTTCCCGTATCCAAACTTTTTGTCTCTGATCTTTAAGATAATTTCTTTTTTATAATTTGAAACTTTTTAGGTAAACGCCATGTCCATTCTGAATGTCAGCTAGTAAAAGAATCTTCTGGCAACAACACGGTTATCATTGAATATTAAATTTCTAACGTACTAAAGTGATTTAAATATACAATATTAAAGTGACAAAAATAGGCCTGTTACGTATATAAGTCTGCATCTTATCTTCTAAGGAAAACCCTGAAACAGGGTATGTAATTAAGTGTTGTTATTTAGTTATAACCTAATTTCCGTAAACATAACGAACTTTAACGAACTTTTTTATATTATTCTTATTTTATTGTTATAGTTTTTTATCCTTTTTTTTTTTCTTGGACCACCTAGATTTTTTTGGACTACCATCTTCTAATCTAGTCCGGACCCCGTTGCAAAGGGTAGATTGGTTATGTCAGTACTAATATGATGTCAAAAATTGTTCCCAGTATATACACACGCACATGGCACAATACTCTCCAATTATTCATGGACTATAATAGAACAAGCCACAGTTCAGACGTATAATGATTTAATGCATGTTCACTATACAATAGCATCTCAAGTTTTAATGGTATCCAATAGTTTTACTACAAGCATTAATCTGCCAATCATTACGAATTTATCTATTATGAAGTACATAATCTATTGTACTTCATATCAGGAATAAAAAGTAGCCGAGTTTTCATTTTACTCCAATGTCGTAAGCATTTTATGGTCCACTATGGACCATTCATTCTGACACACCAAAATACGTATATAAAACGATGAGTTAAAATTTGCATCAGCATTTATCCATACAATACGTCATTGTAGGCCAATTGCAACGTTATAATGTAGCCTAAACAGCTACTCTGGCAATAATTCTAGCTTCCATTCCCGGCATATAACTACATGCATGGACATATATTCACAGCTTGCATTGTACGTGACATGCCGTTGTGATGATTCGACTGGCTACAGTTAAACACACTGAACGAGATTGATATAATGTTGACTTCAAACAGATATCAAATAAAAGATAATAAATATAAAAAGGCGTTATTATTTATTACGTACAAAATAAGATTTTTGTCGGTTTAGGCCATTTCCGTTTAATTTTTCTTATGTAAACGAATTAGGTAAGAAAATGAAATAATTGGTTGATCCTCTCCCACATACAGTGCGACCGAATAAATGTCTAGCTATAATATATTTAATTTTTCTACTTTGACATGTCTTTTGTTAGTCCTTTGGTTGATAAACTAGTAATGTAACACTGCTCTTTCAAATCCATCAACGTCGTTCTTTATCATTCGTTAATAAGTTATTAAAATATATGTTAAATGTGGTTAAATGAAACGATATATCGTCATAATATCCTTAAGATGTCATAGCCT